TCTTTATCTCTTCTTGCTATTTTTAAGATCTATTTTATCTGACATTAGGATTGCAACTCCCACCTGTTTGTGTGGCCCCTTTGCCACTGTTTTGCATCTAGCCTGCAATCTTGGCAGACAAAGAACTGTTGATTTAAAAAAAAAAAAACAAAGGTGGTAGGATCTACTTAAACACTGAGGGTGCCTGTCCTCAGAAAGGATTAAGGAAGCTCTCAGGAAACATTGTTATAAGCCTGGTCCTGACTTGAATCACTCTGGCCTCCATCTTGCAATAGAATTTTAGGTTTCTACACAGTCCCACCATGAGTGTCTCACCAGAGTGCAGCAGAAATGGTGTGGTACCCTTGAGCCTCTGGAATAAGCTAAATAGGCACAGGTACCTAGCCTCAGGTGTTCTGTCTCAGTAACAAAACCAAAATACCTGTCCTTCTTTTCTATTCCAAACCCTCCATCTTTTGCAAAACCTGACAAAGGACCCAACTCAAAGTTTTGTCATTTGTCATGGAAATCTATTCTCAGCTATTTTGTGTGGTGAAAGGAGACAGAGAATCCCTTAAAATTAAGAGTTCAATATGCTTACAGTTATCTGACATTTGGTAAGGGAGCCAAAGTTACACAGTGGAAAAATGATAGCCTCTTCAATAATTGGTGTTGGGAAAACTCGACATCCATATGCAGAAAACTAAAAAGTGGATCCCTGTTTGTTACTATGCTCAAATATCAACTAAAGTGTATCAAAGACTTCAATGTCATACCTGAAACTTTGAAATTACTGTAAGGGGGGATAGGAGAAACATTAGAATTCATAGGCATAGGCAGATACTTGAAGAGTCCCAGGGGCACAGCAGATAGGAGACATGGCAAATGGGATTACATCAAAATAAAAAGTTTCTGTATGGCAAAGAACACAGTTCCTAAACTAGAAAGACAGCCAACAGACTGGGAGATCTGACAAAGGCCTAATATCCAAAATACACAAGCTCAAGAAACTCCCCCCCCCAAAAAAAAAAAAAAAACAAAAAAACACTAAATGGGCAAACGAAGTTGAGAGACTTCTCAACAAAAGAATGGCAAAACAAAATAAAAATTTAAAAAATACAAGGAAATGTTCATTTCACCTCCCCCCCCATAAAAATAAAACAAAACAATGCTGTGATTCCATCACACACAGGTTAGTCTGGCTAAAAAAGTGAATTCAAACAAATGTTGATGAGGATTTGGTGGAACCCTGTTACACTGTTTGTGGGAATGTAAATTAATATGATGACTTTGGACAGCAGTCTGGAGGACTTTGGACAGCAGTCTGGAGGTTCCTCAAAAAACTGAACAGAGATCTTCCCTGCAACCCAGCCATATCACTCCTAGCTAGGCATCTACCCAGAACATCACAAGCCAGCATACCATAAAGACACTTGAACATCCCTGTTCATTGATGTACTATCCACAACAGCCAAGCTATGGAAATAATTCAGATGCACTACAATAGGTGAGTGGATCCAAAAAGATGTGGTATCTTTACACAACGTAATTGTACACAGCCAGTAGAAAGAATAAAATGTCATTTGCAGGGAAATGGATGAACCTAGAACAAATCATGTTAAGTGACATAAGCCAAGCTCAGAGATAAATGGTACATGTTTTCTCTCATGTGAGACCAGATCTAAATACATTGGGGCATGACAAATTATACAGGACTCTATAGGTATTCACACCCAGTGAGACCAAAGGAGGATACTCTTAAGAGAGGAACAGAAAAGTGAAATACCTATGTTGATCTGATCATATAAAATAATACTTATCAAAATGAACTCCAGGAAATAAAAACAAGAGGTTTTTACTTTGTTGCTATTTTTGCTTTCTGTCTTTGGGAGGATACGGGGAGGCAAAGATTAAGGATCAAAGGGTGAACAAATGCAGCAGAGATACTCACTGAAAACTTATTGGCAGGCTGGGAGGGGAAAACTGGGAGAGCGCCAGGGAAGGGTGACACTGTCCAAAATGTGCTTTCCCTAAATGTAACTATAACCCCTTTGTAATTACCTTCATAATAACAATTTTAAGAGTTCAAAGATAGATGTGTTCACAGACAAAAAGCAGAATGTAGTTTACCATGGGTTGGTAGGGTGAGGGTGAGAATGGAGCCACTGTTTAGTGGGTATAGTGTCCGTGTGGAAATGTGAAATAGGTTTTGTACATGGACAGTGGTAAGGATTGCACAACTGCACTTGGGATATGCTGAAGGCCAATAAATTGTACATCTTTCTATTTTACCATAATAGCATAAAAAGGAAGAAAAAATTTCAGGCACATCATCTCTTAGACATGACCAGTTTATTTTAAGAATTCAAATTTCTTTTGGCAAAGTATGTCCAGAGGCATAGTTTGGGATAATTATGTCATTTGAAGCAATCACATATTCTACATTTAGTTGGTCATGGGGTAGTATCTGAAGGAAAGGCAAAACTGAAAAATAATTTAGTGTGTGTGGAATGATAACCACAAGTATTTGCAAAGAAAAGTAGCTTATTCAATTGAGGGATGAAACACATTTACATTAACAGAAACCCTTTAAGTTCAACACACACTAAAGACCTCATTTGTGCAAGACACTGGGGTTGGATAAAAACCCAAGTATCAGAAGATGCAATCCTATCCTTAAGGAAATTTATAATCTAGTAACAAATGTATATATAAAAGTGGTGTGAGAAATAAGGTCCAAAAACCTGCTCTAAAGCCAGAGTTCATTTCCTAGTGAAGGCTGAAGTTGGACCCGTTTAACTTAAGTGTTGGCAAGTGCCAGAGCATGCTAAAAAATAAATAAAAACTGGAAAGGCATGTCTACCCAACAGGAGAGGTTCTAACTCCTCTGTGGCTTTAAATATGCAAAAGGAAATTTTTTTTTTATGTTGACCTATTTTAAGAAACGAGTTGGGGCTGGGAAGGTGGCTCAGTGGTAGAGTGCTTGCCTTGCATGCATGAGGCCCTGGGTTTGATTCCTCAGCACCACATAAGCAAAAAGAAAGCTGGAAGTGGCGCTGTGGCTCAAGTGGTAGAGCTCAGGGACAGCACCCAGGTCCAAAGTTCAGGCCCCGCGACAGACAGACAAGAGAGAGAGAGAGAGAGAGAGAGAGAGAGAGAGAGAAATGGGTTAACAGGAAGGATGGGTAAGTTCTAGAAAGCAAAGCTTGAAGAGGATGAAACACAATTTCATAATTTCAGGGAAGGCCCTGCCTAGGTGTATCTGCATACGTCTCAGGGCCACCCTGTCAGAAAGAAGGCAGTTCGGGCAATGCAAAACACGGTCTCTTTTGTGAGACTACCTTCATAATAATAACAATAATACCTATTGAGTTGTGGCTACTGAGAGCAGCCAATTAATGTTGCCTGTTTACCACTGCACAAATGAAGGTTACAATAGTTGATCTGGGAAGAGAGAAAACCTTTTATAGGTTAATTCAGCTCATGACTTAATATGCCTAATTTTTGCTATACCAAGAAAAAAAATGTAAAAACTAGAGGGACAAATCATTTCTGAAGAAAAATACACTATTTGTATTACACCTTAAAAAGAATTTTAATGGAACACACTACTAATAAAACATCACAGTTTTTGCTTTTGTAATTTACACCAATGACATTAATTCTAATACTTTAGAGAACTCTTACACAGTATATAACAAGTTGTTTTAATTTTACTATCATCTGTAACGTCAAAGTTTGGCTTGAACTATTTCAAAGAAAACCATTTAAAGTTCAGTTCTCCACAAAATTGATCAATTTAAAAAGAAAAAAAAAGCTTTGCCAATGGAAAGCTGGAGTGTATATACCTTCCAGCCTCCAAAGACATAACATTAATTTAACCAGCACCTAGTAAAACCAAAGCCTCCTTCCAAAGGACAGATTGATTCTTCCTGCACTCATAGCATCAACATCTTCTTCTTAGGAACTGTTTTGCTATGGCATGTGTACACACACACACTCACACACACACACACACACACACACACACACACACTTATCAATAAACTGACATGCTACATGAATATAGCTGTTTCTTTAATCAAAATGAAGCCAGAAGACTAGGGGAAGACATAAATTAGCACACTGAATGATTTACTTGAAAGTAAAATTTGTAAAAATGTCATCCAACCTGGTTTCATATTAATTTAAAAATCAAGATGAGTATCATTTCAGACTTATATACATCAAGATGCCAGTTCTTATAAAAATGTTTAGTTGTAAATGTTAAGATTATGCAAAAATAATTTCATATCAGTTTTAATTTAAATGAATTTCCCATAACTCTAATATTAAAAACATTAAAGGAACTTAAATTTTAATGGCAAAAGTTCCTATTTTCCCCATCTATTAAAATAAGGTTCTGTTTTCCCTTATTAACATACAATGCCCTATTATTAAGGCACAACTTTTTAAAAAGTGAAATCACAGATTAGGTTTATTTTAAACACAGTTATTGTTGTAGATTATAATATATCATAAACTCAATCTATAAAATAAAAGTGAATGTACTGAGAAGCAACTGATATTGAGCTACAATAGGCCAAGTGCAGCTAGAATCTTCCCAACAAACCTTGCTTTAACCAGTCAGGCTCTTTCAGGAAGGCAGTCTCTAAGGTGTTTACCAGGAAAGTTGAGTACTTTTTCTGCAGTGGCGCGGGACCCTACACTTAGGCCTGGCTATCAGAGACAGTTGTTGCCCTCAAAGTCTGAGTGAAACCCAATTTTTGAATTTAGCATGGGAGACAAGGGCAGATCCCAGGCACCAGGACAAAAGCTTGCCTTGCATATCCCCTCAGCTGCTCTCCCCATACCTCCACCTCCATCCTCCCTCCACCTTCCTTTCCACTGTCTTCTTACCCATGACCTCATTCTACATCCTCTGACACAATCTATAAAATGCTTAGAGAATATCCAACAAACAGGAAGAATTTGCACAACTGTTACTTAGAACATAAAAATTATGTTGCTACTTCATTGTACATTATACATAATTTATCTCAATTTTATCAATTTAAAATTAGAAATATTACAATTGGGGGAAGAGGACAATCACAAACCAAAGATAATTATGATCACCTAGTAGGATCTTGTAACCTCAACTGAAATGGGGGTTACAAGTATGAAAAGAACACAGAAAGCAGGCTTACTTATTCAAAATTACATTTTCTATGTTTATATCCTCAAGATGGCTGGGAAGAAATGCTCTGTAAAGACTTTAGTACTGGATTAAACTTGTCAATGTAAAGGTTTCTGTAATTAAAAGTCATTTTTCTGTCTTTCTATGAAGTTTGAAACATATGCACTTCCCTTCCTCATGGAAATTGCAGCACAGCCTCAGTTTTATAGTATGATTTCAGCAAGCAATCTTGAGAAGTGGGTACATCAAAAAACTATGAGTGAGCTGAGCACTGGTGGCTCATGCTCGTAATCCTAGCTACTCAAGAGGCTGTAAGATTGTAGTTAGAAGTCATCCTGAACAGAGAAGTCCTTGAGACTCTATATCTTGCAAAAGCCACACTAGAGGTGTGGTTCAAGTAGTACAGTGCCAGCCAGCCAGCCAAGCAAGCAAGCCAAACAGGCACAAGGCCTTGAGTTCCAACTTGGGTACCAGCAACCCCCTCAAAATAAAAATTGGGGGAGGGGATAAAGTACTATCTGGTATACTGGTGAATAAGGAAAAGCAGAAATAAAGGATAAGAACAGGCAAAGGAGGCATATACATTGTAGAGATGAAGAGGGAAAAGATGTCAGAACACTAAATTACTGATGTCCCTGCTTCTATTAACTGTAATACATAAAACACAGCTTTAAGGGAAAATTACCTTCCAAATAAGGACAAAGATGAAGGAAAAGGAAGGCAGAAGCTGGGCAACGAATGTCACCAAAAGTAAGTTGGATTTATCTTGCTGTGTTTTAGAAATACTTTTCTGCAATTCTAGAAGATATTACACTCTTTTGAAAGTGTTTTACAGGTAAGTGCTGGCACAATAATGTCTTATAAATAAGTATAAATACTGTTTCTTGTAATGTATCAATGGCTCTTAAAAATAAACAAAGATTTTAAAAATGAGCTTTCTATAAAAAGTACTTAAAATCTTAGTAACTAGACTATACCCCAAAAAATTATAAAAATAACGTATTCAACTCTTAGCCAATCTTAATTTTTACACACAGCACATTTCATAATTGTACATATCCTTGGCTATGCACACATTACTGAACTAAAATTAAATTGGAGCAATCATGCTTGCTAATATGAACTACTTTTACTTCAATTAAATCACAAAGATTCTATGTAATATTTTTTAAACTACGGTTAAATTCCACTTCCTATTTGCCAGTTTTATTTTCTTAACTTTGACATACCACAATTTAAAAAAATAAATGCCAAAACTCTGGAAACAGCATTTGCCTTTGCCATTCCTAAAGAAAAAAAAATCCTGTCCTATTGTATTACGAAGTAAAAATGATGAACTGCCTGACATTCTTTTCAAAATTTTCAAGCCAGTGTAAGTTATCAAATGTTCCACCCATTGAACTTGGAATTTTCACTGAACAAAGGCCTACCTAATATATTTGTTACTAGGGTAAGATATTGAGTGGAAACATTTGTAACATCTTAGATTGAGTTCTAATGAGGAACTAAGGACTTTAAACAACATGCAAACCTAAGTATGCACACTCTACCAGGCTAGGATGTACATTCTTTGGTCAATTTTACCTTCACCTGGGAAAATAGAAAGCAAGCTGATTTCAATTTTGTTTGAGGGGGAAAAAAAGCAAGCATGAGAAATCAGTGTTATGGCCTATAAGGCATTGAAGATATATGAAATAACAGTTTCAATTGTTTTCATTAGTTTTCTAGGTATCATAGTGAGAGAAGCATACTTTCAAATAAAAGAAAGTTCAAAAAGCAAATCTTCCAGTGTTTTTGCTAACCAACAGGAAAACTGAATAGGAAATTAAAAAACTTTTAATTTCATTTTACTAATTTGAAGGGAATCTACAGAGTATCTCAAAAGTCACTACTGTGAGAGTTCGGTTAGGCTAGGTACATCTGCTAGCAGTACTTATTTATAGTGAAAGCAACCATGGCCAAAGCATTCTTGACAACGGCAGACTGTCTATATAATCCTGGAAAAGTTTCTAAAATTTTATATTAAAATAAGGTTCCTGCAAATGAATGAAAACTATGTCAATTCATATGTAATGTCAAGTGATTTTTCAGTTATAACAGAATTATTTACTTTCTTGCAATGCCTTATGGGGTTAATTTTATTCCTAAATGTAGTGTTAAATCTGAAACCTAAAACTCAAGACTAAATGCTGGTCAGGAGGGATGGAAGCATGCATCTTCCACAGAGAAATGCAAATCTACAATATGATGACAGAAATGTTGAACCCATAGGTAAAACAATTTCCTTTATCAGAACAGAATACACACACACACACACACACACACACACACACACACACACTCACACACACACCACATACACACATCAATTATAATGCAAACCATCATGTGTGTATTTTCTACTGGCTGGTGAACCTGTTAAAACTTCAGAGAAAAAAATGTGGACTTTTCTATTTTAATCCATAGAAACAGTAGATGAATAGAGCACATGTGCACATTAATGAATGTGAAGCTTCTTGTGCTTTCCATCAGAAGTAAAAATCCTCAGTTACTTTATTTTCAAGTTACATCAAACATCTACACAAAATCAATCCTTCCTTCCACCCAATTTGTATATGAAAATATTAACAAATAATGAAGATTCATGATGTGTGAAAATGGTGGCTCATAATGTAGACTCAGCTATAGATTTTAATTCACAAATATATATGCGCCTTGTGTATGACAACTGTACGAAAATAGTCTCAAAAATAAAGACAATACTTGAGACACGAAGCAACCCACTTTCCCTGATACTTTGTATCCTATTATAGGGAAAATAAGTCTCCGATGCTTCATAAATACTTAAAAAAGTTCAGAATGGCCTTTAACCATGCATAGTCTCTACCAACCCTCTGACACTTTGAGCAGTTCAGGCTGACCATTTCAGCTCTGGGGATACTGCCCCATGTAGTTAGTTATACTTATTTATGTCCTATCTTTTCTAGATCTGGGAGTTTTCGGACCAGAGCCTGATGGTTCATTCTGATGCTAGCGAGGAGGCCCCCTTCGATGCCGTCAGAGCCTATGTAACTGATTTCTTCACCATTCAAGGTAGTCATATGCCCTCCAAGGGCTTTTAAGATGGCATTGCCAGCACATATATCCCACTTTTTGATGTATGTCACATGGATATATAGGTCAGCTTTTTCTTGACTTTTATCAGGCACATCCAAGAGTGCTAAAACTTTATAACCTAAAAAGATAGAACAGAATTTAAGTGGTTACTCAAAAGATACAAAGGAAGGAGCACATATTTTTCATTTAGTACACTATTGAAAAGGACAGGGAATGTAGAGTCTAAAATTATGTCTAAATAAAAATATTTTTACATGTTAAGAGAACAGAAATAAACTCAATGGAGCAAGTTCATTAAACTAGTCTGCAGTGTAACTAAATGTCTATGGTTTTTAAATTTTAAACCTTTGTGGTTCTTTATGGAAGGACAAATATAGTACGTGCTATTTTATCTGAAAATATTACATTAAAGGTAAACACCTATTACTTAAAACACCTGAGTAGGCCTGACAAAAAAGAGGCCAAGAACTGACATTACCAATTTTAAGTCCTTTCTGTAATAAGGGAGTACTTAGGTAATAAAAGTTCAGACGAAACTGGGTCTAAAATCTAGTTTATTTTATCCTTACTGGGTATTCTGGATGCAGATAATGAAAAGTTAGTAAGCATCACTTCTTGATAATTGTGCTATAAAGATATTCCAACCCAATGTTTTCTGATCAATAATGTGTTATTTACCTGAATTAATTAAGCTAACAGTTAACTTCACCACATAAAGAGCAGGTATGATCAAAGCCATCAAATTGCCCCTTGAGCCAAATTTACATTATGGTCTGTTTTTGTACATATCGCACTATGTATTTTTTTAAACATTTTGATAAGGTTTAATATTTTGAAAAGGCTTCAAAAAAACGAATTAAAAATGCCCAAGAGACTATATATGGCAGAGGCTGACCTCTGATCTATCATCAAGAAATACAAGAATATAGTAGACTGAGTGAACTGCCAAATACTTGACTCTTTCTCATCCCACAGGTTCAAAGACTGAAGACGTTAGGGCTCTTAGAAGTGAGTCAGAGCCGGGCCCCAGTGGCTCACGCCTGTAATCCTAGCTATTCTGGAGTATAAGATCTGAGGATCGCGGTTCAAATCAGTCCGGGCAGGAAAGTCCATGAGACTCTTATCTCTCATAAACCACTAGAAAACCAGAAGTGGCGCTGTGGCTCAAGCGGTAAAGCGCTCACCTTGAGCTGAAGAGCACAGGAACAGTGCCCAAGCCCAGAGTTCAAGCCCCACAACCTACCAAAAAAAAAAAAAAAAAAAAAAGAAAGAAGCGGGCTGGGAAGGTGGCTCAGTGGTAGAGCACTTGCCTTGCATGCATGAGGCCCTGGGTTCGATTCCTCAGCACCACATAAGCAAAAAGAAAAAAGCCGGAAGTGGCATTCTGTGGCTCAAGTGGTAGAGCATTAGCCTTAAGCGAAGAGCTGAGGGACAGCGCCCAGGCCCAGAGTTCAGGCCCCACGACCGGACCCCCCCCCCCCCCCCAAAAAAAAGAAGTGAGTCAGAATAGTTCTTCTAATAACAGACAGATAACACTGAGCATCCTCCTGCCATAGAAAGCACCCTTGGTCTTCCCTCATCTTCCTGACATCATCAATTAACAGAACAATTCTTCTGAGGTTAGAGCGTAAAAAAAGCAACAGCTAAACACTGATGGGACTTTAGGTTGCAGTAATTGAGGAAGAGAAACAACTGGTGTGTTTGTTTCTCTCTAGCAAGGTCAATGCCAATAAAACTACCCTAGAGGAAGTAGGAAACTGAGCGTCAACACTGCTCACTCCTTCTGCCTTCTGTCAGTCTCCTGACAGATTTGTGAAGTCTAGAAACTTTCTCTGAAATCACACAGAACAAAAAGCATACCAGCACCACCAGCTGGGATGATTGTAGTCTGGTTTCCGAATGTCTGAAGAGCAACTTGTTTGACCATCCCAGAATGGGAACGGGATACGATGATTCGTGGGATCTTCTCATTGTAGGAAGAACGTGCTTTCACATTTGAACCACCATCTACCATTGCCCAAGCTGAAAAGCAAATGGGAACAAAAAGCAAATATTCACTCATTAATAGCACTGAAGATTTTAACTTTCAACCCATTATCGTCAATCCACTTACGTATTACACATATTACTCTATACACTATGCTCTTTGGAGGGACTGAAAAAAAAGCCACTCTATACATTTTTTTTCCAGAGAATTTTTGTATTTTTTAAGTATGAAAGTTGTTTATTTATGTATTCATTTATTTATGTTTGTGCTACTCCTGGGGCTTGATTTCAGGACAGTGTCCCTTGGCTTTTGTACTCAAGGCTAGTGCTCTACCACAGCTCTACTTCTGGCTTTTCTGGTGGTTAGTTGGAGATAGGAGTTTCATACTCTCCTGCCCAGGCTGGCTTTGAATCATGATCCTCAGATTGCAGCTTCATGAGTAGCTAAGATTACAGGAGTGAACTACTAACACCTGGCTGAAAGTTTATTTTTAACAGCAAAGCAGCATGGGCTTTAATTAAGGGGACTGAAGTTTGAGGCCAGTCTGGGCAACAAGATTCCATCTCAACCAATAATCTTGGTATAGAGTAGACATCTTCCATCCAGCTACATCAAAGTATAAATAGAAGGACCTTAGTCTAGGCAAAAACAGAAGGCCCTATCTAACAAGTAACTTAAGCAAAAACAGGTGGGGAGATAGCTCAAGTACAGAATACCTGGTGTGGCAAGCACAAGGTCCTAAGCTCAAACCTTCAGTACCACCCAACCCCCAAAAGGTCAGTCATATATTAAGACAAAGCTTTAAAAAGGAGGGAGAGTGTACTCAGGCACAGTCAGAGAAAATGGCTATTACCTGACTTGAGAACGGCTGAGTTTCAGAGCTCCCCTGGGGTACCAGCTAAGCCTCTTCTGGGACTGCACCACAACCCAACTTCTCCCTACTCTATGAAGTTTCTTTTTCTCCTTTATAAAAATTTGATCCCAACCAACTCCTACTAAATATCCTGCTTGCTGATGCCAACTCAAAGTCTTATTCTAGGGAAGCCTCGCCTATAATGTAAGCATAACTTCCTTGGATATTTCAAATTTTAAGACATATTTTTCTCCTGTAAGTATTTCCACTTCTAATGTATTCGTGATTTCATTTATTTACATATTGATTAGCTTTCCTAAGTGGCTTTATAAACAGAAAATAGTTAAAGAAGTATGCTAGTTAGGTTCACCTGTCTGTTTTGTCAAGAAGTATAAAAAAGAAAACAAGTTAGATTTCAAACCAGAACAGAATTTTAAAGGGGTGAGGGTGGAGACCCCAGATATAGCTTGGTAAGTTTTTCTTGGTTTGGAAATGTTTCTCACTGACTATTAAACTATGGAAGAGAGCAAACTTACTCAGAATTAAGATCATTTTCCTAGCATTCACTCACTTTATGGTAAAATAATAGTCCACCATGGCTAGCAACAAAAGCAGCTGCATCATTAACTTACTCCTGGCTGCAGAAAAAAAAATCAAAAAAATTAACAGTCTTGGTTTCTAAATTCCTTAAGGATGATAGCAGCCTCTTAGCTCTTTCCCTGTCACCTTCTAAAAACCATACACAGCCACAAAGAAAGCAGATATAAATACCCATAGTCTGCACATATATAGTAAGTAGAACAACACTGACAGTCACAAACACAAATATATGAACTAGCAAGAAAATGACTGCGGAGTCAGCAGAGAGCTGGATATGGCCATGCTGTGGGAATTACAGCAGGAGCTTCACAGAAATGCTAAGAGGCTACAGACTTTCAGTGATGGTAGAATTCAGAAAATAAGGGCTTGAATTTAGGACCTAGACAGTGTCTCTTGGCTTTTGTACTCAAGGCTAGTGCTCTACCACAGCTCTACTTCTGGCTTTCTGGTGGTTAGTTGAAGATAGGAGTTTCATACTTTCCTGCCCAGGCTGGCTTTTGAGAAGAAAAGGCCTATTTAAAATGGAAACTACTGAAAGCAGGCCTACAATTTGACTTAACAAAGCACTGTGAAGAAAAGGCCTGGAGAAGACACAGAGCCAGAATATAATCCTGAGAACACTGTAGGGAAGGGGAGGGATGACCGTAAAAGACATCTTTGGTGATGAAATAATTGCTAAAGAAAGGCTTCAATAAAAAGGAAACAGCAGGACAAAGGACGAACTAATGCCACAATGATACTCACTAGACAGTATGTTGGAAATGAACTTTAAAACTTGGTGGGGGTAATGAGGAGTGGTAAGCAGGAGAAATAAGGGAGGGTGTAACAGTGTTTAAAAAGGGTGAACCAATGTAACAGTGATACTCACAGGACAATATGTTGTTGAACTTTAGAACTTTGCAGGGAAGGAAAGTTGGAGAAAAACGAGGGAGCGGATAACAATGTTTAACAAGAAATGTATTCATTACCTTACGCATGTAACTTAACCCCTCTGTACATCAACCCAGCAATAAAACTAAATTTAAAAAATGTAAAAAAAAAAAAAAAAAAAGAAAGGCTTCAAGAAAAGACCTCCTGGGGTTGGGAAGGTGGTTGGTTCAGTGGTAAACTGCCTTGCATACATGAGGCTCTGGGTTAGATTCCTCAGCATCACATAAGCAGAAAAAAAGCCAGAAATGGTGCTATGGCTCAAGTGGTAGAGTGCTAACCTGCTGAAGAGCTGAGGGACAGTGCCCAGTCCCAAAGTTCAGATCCCACAACCGACCAAAAGAAAAAAAACTCCACAATGAAAAAACTTCCTGAAACATTAAACACACAAACAAAAATTGATAATAAAGCCTTCCCTATACTAACAGAAAAGCAAGCTCCTAATCTGAGAATGATCAAACTCCCAATTAGCCATTATTTGCTCATCAGTCCCACAGTATCTGGCCCAAACTTTGAAAAAGAAATATGAAACGGCATATGTGTATTTGTGTGTACATGTGTATATGAAGATACACATATACATATAAACAATGCAGATTATAACTTTTCAAGCTTCTTGAAAATTTTCATAAAAGAGAGGAAAAGTATTCAACAACCTAAGTGGAAACAAAAGCAAGCAACAGATGAAAGAAATACCAATAAGAAAAATAAAAGTAATGATTCAGAAAAGTTGGGCAGACAATAAAAAGATGTGAAATGAAGTCATGTCACAGAAGACACAACAAACAAACAAAAAAGGGACAAAATCATTGCAGACCTATCAGTAAATCACAAAATGCACAGAAAACAGAATTATTCAAAAGTTTAGCAAACAACTGGAAACCCAAAGGTAATTTAACCAATTAAGTAGATAAAATGAACTCCAGGGAAAGGGACAGAGAAGGATATTAGTAAAAGTCAACACTGAGTATCTAAAGAAGGATAAATAGATACAAGAAATCTGTCTAAATGATTTAAGAAAATGTACTTAAAATAGCTAAGGTCCTAAAAATCTCTATTGATAAGCATATTGCATAGCTTGGAATCTACACAGAGTACTGATTCTGAAACATCAGTTAAATCTTAGATTTTTAGAAATAAAGTTCTTTTGTATGTAGTCCAAGCAAAAAGATTAAGCCACTTACAAAGAAAAGAAAATAAGAGTGTAATGAGTCTTTTAGTCAGTGAGATTCAACTCATAAAGATCCACATTCAGTTCAAGTTTCTACATGCTTTAGTCAAGAAAAAAAAATGCATAATGAATTGAATAGAGTCCTACTAAAATCCTGGACAATCTGGGACTGTCAGAATGTGATCTCATTTGTAACTAGGGTCCTTGCAAATGTAATTGTTTAAGGTGATGCTGAATTAGGATTGGTCCTAAATCCAAAGATTGATGGTTTTAAGGAGAGGAGATGGAGAAGATCACTAGATGAAAACAGGCAGGGTAAAGTGGTACAGCTTTTTTAAAAGCCTAGGAATGGCAAGACTATCTATAGCCACCAGAAAGCAGGTTGGCTATTCCTCCTAAGCCTGCAGAGAAGTATAGTCCTGTTGTCTTTTTTTTTTCTTAATATCAACTTATGGTCTCTGGAACTTCCAGAGTAGGTTTCTATTGTTTTACACCACTCAACTTGTTATTGCAGCTCCCTGATGCTACTGTAAGTAGTCAAACTTTCAAATAGCAACGCTATGGAAAATGGTTTTTAAAGTGTACTTTTCAATTAATACTGCACTCATGGGCCAGCTCTTCTGAAGTAATTTGTGAAGAGCACATAACCAAGAGATGATTGTAAAACTCTTCATAAATGCATTGTTAGCTAGCCTAGCATGAATATGACGATCTAAAAGTACACCAAAGAATAAGAGAATGAAAATAAAGGTGTGTAAATGTACTCTCACAGCTGACTGCAGAGTTGAAGGGTATCAGTTAAATGTGATTAGCTGAATAGCAGAGTTTAAAGTAACCAGCCAAACACATACAAGAAAGAAGTCAAAAAATTCAATTCTTTCACAAATGTTCAACCATTTTCACAAAGAGTGAACTTACAATACTCTACCGCTAGAGGTCAGCATTGTGTAAATGGATAAAAACAGCTTATCTGTTGACACTGGAGATAAGAATTTAGGTAAAGGGCTGGGATGTAGCTCAGTGGCAAAGTGCTTGCCTAGCAAGTGCAACGTCCTGGGTTCGATCCCCAGTACCAAAAAAGAAAAGACAAAAAAAAAAAAATTTAGGTAAAAATTTTTGAATTCAGTGATGTTAAATCCTATATAAATGTTAAATCCTATTTAAAAAAAAAAACCTATATAAGGGTGTCCCTTATTGGAACACGTCTTTTTAAAGTATAATAGATGCTTAAACATAAATGACTACTAGGAGGTAACAGTGGAAAGGTTAGAATGCGTTGTTTTGTTTTTAGAATGCATTTACGAGCAAGATATGCTTTTAAAAAAGCACAGCAAGAAATAAAAAATGGTTGGTATTTTCATACACAGACTTCTGACAATGTAATTTAATAGCTACATATTTCCACTGAGTGAATGTACAATTACTTAAGTATTTACCTATTACTTCTCTAAAATATTATTCAAGTATTTCTTGTTTCTAGGGATTTCAAACTCAAGGAATTATAATCAGGTGATAAGAATATTTTTGTGGTGCTGCAGATGAAGCCCAGAGTCCCAGACTATGTGGTAAGAATTTTAATCAACTCTATTATAAAACTGTTGCCAGCAATCTGTAGTTCTCATTATAGCCAAGAATAGCTAAATATGATAAATATGAATACTTTATTCAGTATTACTACCCTGCCAAGATCAATACACAGTAACATTCCCAACAAAAGCCACAGAGTAAACCTTCCTCCAGGAATGGGAGGTCAGAGGTACATAGGTACCTATGAAGTTTGGATTCTTTCAGCAAACCTGATGACTGGCATGCGCTATTATGCTTCAGCACACTGGGCTTGTAAGCTGTATCATACAAGAATGTGGCATTCTATTGCTAGTTCATAAAGACACTTATCTGTTCTTGTTAGACTTTTGGCTTATTTGGGTAAGCCTTTGGCAAATGAAGCCTGTGCAATGAAGGTTTTGAAAATGGCCACTTATCTCTATTCTTTCCCCTAAAATAGATAGGGAAACCAAAATCTAAAATGTAAATCTATTTGCTTATCTAGTATCACTTTCTTCCTTGTTTCCTTTATTGAGGTTCCAATTTTCTTTGTGAAATCAGCTCTGCTTCTAGCTAAGGGTAATATTTGACAGTCAGTCAATGAAATAGAGCAGAGATTTAATGAATAGAGCTTAATGTTATCTTTCTCTAACACAAACATTATCTAGGATTGTTCCTCTTGTTTCCCCTTCTTGAGGAAAAGAACCAGGAAAGGGCAAAGACTTACCTTGTGAGTATAAAAATAACAAAAAAAGCCTACTGAAGGAAAAAAAAAAGCAACGAGAGGAGTTGGAGTTGTTTCTTTTTTTTTTGGGGGGGGGGGGGGCCAGTGGTGGGGCCTGAACTCTGGGCCTGGGCGCTGTCCCCCAGCTCTTCAGCTCAAGGCTAGCGTAGCGCTCTACCACTTGAGCCACTTCCGGCTTTTTTCTTTTTGCTTATGTGGTGCTGAGGAATCGAACCCAGGGCCTCATGCATGCAAGGCAAGCGCTCTACCACTGAGCCACCTTCCCAGCCCAGGAGTTGTTTCTTATCTGTGGTTTTGGTCCTCCTGTTAGGTGAGAAAATTCCCTTATTTGTTGAAGCACTGTAATCAGATTTATGTGCAATGCCATCTGACATGGGTTAGTATGAAAAGAATGGTTTCAAAAACTCAAATTCTGTGCTTAACAAATATAAACTTGTTTGTTTTTAAGAGTCATGAAAACCTCCATTTTATATCCCTTCCAGTTATTTTGAGACTATAAAATGTTTTTCAATATACTTTTATAAACTGTAAAAATACTAAATAGCTTGGTATCAGTAGTTCACATCTACAATTGTAGCTACTCAGGAGGCTGAGATTTGAGAATTGCAGCCAGGCTGGACAGGAAAGCCTGTGAAACTCTTACCTCCAAGAAACTATCAAAAAAAAAAAAACCAGAAGTGGAGCTGTTCCTCAAGTGGGAAAGCACTAGCCATGCACAAAAAAAGCCCAGCAACAATAGCCAGGTCTTGAGTTAAAGCTCCAGGACTGGCCAATAAGAAGAAAGAAGAAAGAAGAGGAAGAGAAGGAGGAAGAGAAGGCAAAGAGGACAAAGAAGGAGAACAAGAAGGAAGAGAAGGAGAAAGCAGCAACAGCAGCAGCTGCTGCAGCCTAAGTAATTGCTACTAATCAAGTGTTAGTTCTTCCAGAAATATTTTGATCTACATGGTTTTCATAAAAGGTTAAACCCATTTTCTTATCTATAACATATAATTCTTTATCAGGTACTTATCAAAAAGTTCAAATAAAATAATTACAAATTGTTATTAAACTATTGTTAAGGCTTATATAGTCAAAACAAATATATATGTAATGATCTATTACTGATTTGCATAAAATTCCTGGCGTTGCCTCTGTCATTAATTTAACTGAATGCTCTGAAGGAATGTATTAAATTTGAGTCTATTTCCTCATCTGTAAGTGAGAATACTAAGTACACAATGTAAGTTGTACTTAATAGCCATTTCTTCATTGTCCTTGAGTGACAGATACACTTGGATAGCCACTAAGACTGCATTTCTTACTTAGCTTTCCTTGTAACAAAACTCTTACACGCACACATGCACACACTCCCAGAGAATCTTGCTAACACAGGGAGCAAAAGCAGCAGGAGGGACAGGCCAGTGTTCACAGAAGAGAGTAATAAAACTATTTTGTTCAACTCCTACACATTTTTACAAATATCACTTCAGCTTAAATTAACAGCTTAAATTGTATTCTAACAAATTCAATGAGCATTACAGGTAATATGTACAATTAGTATCTTAAGGAATATCAGAACACTAATGCCACAAACCTTTAATAGCCGATATCTCTGAGAACTATCTAAATTATGAAAAGAGATAAAGACAGAAGGGACAAAGTAAGTATGATTCTGAAATACAGAGCCAACACTCAAATAACATGTTAGCCTGTCTCAGCGCAGCTAAAATTTGGGATCCTGGTCATTTGGCAAAGTGAATAAATAACTCCAATATAATCAGTTACATACTCTTGGGACAGCAGTGTAAGATGTCCATAAACTCAGTAGCTTACAACAAAAGAAGTTTATCTAAAAATCTAAAACCAAGATGTTAATGAATAGGATTAGTTCCTAATTCCTAGAGGCTCTGAGGGTAAATCTGTTCTATACCCTTTCCTCTCTTCCTTTTGGTAGCAGACAATCCTTAGCTTCTTCAAGGCTTTACTCTGGTGTCTGTCTCTAACTTCATACGATGTTAACCAATGTGTGTGTACATTCTATTTCTTATACAGACAAGATCACTGGTTTAAAGTCCTACTCTTTTTTTCTTAATTTTTTTATTTATTGTGAAAATACTGTATACAGAGGGGTTACAATTACATGAGCAAGATAATGAGTACATTTCTTATCAAGCATTGTTGTGGCCTCCTCCTTCATCCTCCCCCCCCACCTCCCACTGGCCAAAGTTGTAAAGTTCATTTTTCGACATAACGTCTTGTACACCTCATTGTTGCAATGGGTCCACCTGTATCCCTATTTAAACAATTTGTTTTTTCCCCTTCTCCTCCACAAATTATACCAACATCAAATACAGTGAAAACAGGGGCTAAAGTCCTACTCTTAAATATAATCTCATGACACCAAAGTTTGTATGTTATTATGGGCTGAATTGTGTTCCCCTGATAGTATAATGGAGTTCTAACCTCTAGCACCTCAGAATCTGTAATTATCTGGAAATAGAATCGCTGAGACATAACAAGTTAGATGAGGCCACACTGACTTATATTCCCTTAGTCCAACAGGACTGGTTTAATTATTAGGAGAGGAGAAGAAAAACAGACATACACAAAGAGGGCTACATGATAAAGGAAACACAGGTTGGAGTTATGTATTTATAAGGCAAGAATTCTATGGATTTCTGGCAAACTACCAGACACTAAGAGAAAAACATGAAAGTACAGTGCTTTACAAGCAATGTCTCTGCCAATACCTTGACTTTGGACTTCTATCCTTTAGTACTGTAAGATCTACAATGCTATTCTTCAAGATACAGTTTATGGTTTTTCATTACAGTAGCCTTAGGCTACTATAAAGTGGACCTAAATTTAAGGACTTTATGTAATCCAGTATAATTTGCCACTAGGGCTCTTGGTACAGCGCAATTGTTACCATAAGAATCTTGTTATCTGAGGTAAGAATAGAGCCAAAGATCCATAACCTTTGCCCTGTGTTGCTGATGAGACTCAATTTATGACAGTTCCCTTTAGGATGTCAGGAACGACGCTGAGGCCAATACCACTCTTGTATTGAGAACCAGTATGGTCATGTTTAACTTGCAACCAGTACTATTACTGCTACCTGGAAGACCACAGCTAGCCTCTCTGGCTAACTAATAGCTTGTATATGTCTATAGTGATAGCAGAATATTGTCTGTGTATTTGCTGATGCTAGCAAGGTTAAAATGCATGATCTTCCATACACTCTTATGTCCAAAATAACTCTCACTGATGGGCCCAGACATCCTTGGGAATAAAAATTGTTTGGGAAGCCATATTTTGTCATGTATTATCAGTACCAACTATAAAATATTCACTGTATCCAATGAAGTGGTATGAAAAAGTAGGGGGCAATCTTCAATAATTGCTGAGATTCTAATTGGTGAGATTCTAACATGATGGCAAGTAGTTCAACAGTTCAGTAACATTAACTATTGAAAACTTTCATACATGTCATACCTGTATATTCAGAAAATGGCTTATGAATAACTCCTAGAACAGGTTTACCATTTACTGCCACGCACACCATAGTGGTGACATACTTTCGAAGATCCTCTGTGAAAAAACACATAAACATAATTATCTAAGTACTGAACATAAATTCAAGATATATGTCACTTTTTTATAAATTCATAAATAAGAAATGCTTTTCAAAGATAACAATCTTGCAAAAGCAAACAGAGTCCAGGGATGAGAGCCAGATACAGGGACTAAAAAGAGATCATTTGGGTTACATCCTTAACCCACAGTTTTATTAGTTATATATTGTTGGTCAAATTACTTAAATTCAGTTTTTTCATTTACATACACTATACAGACAATAAAACACATTACTCATGTTTATACATCAAAATAACTTTTAATTTTATGATTTAATTTAAAAATCAAGTTAGGCAGGTACAACATTCATCATGTAGAGATGCACTCACTAAATGTTATGTGATCAATCTAGTTCAGTTTAAAAAAAACTTCTTGTAAAAAAATCTTATTCCTATTAGCTATTCATGTAAAATATTGTAATTTCATTTATTATATGGGTAATTTACACACACATATATATAGACAAACACATATATATAGGCTTAAAGTGGTAGAGCCTAGCTTTGAGCAAAATAACTCAGTGACAGCACCCAGGCCCTGAGTTTAAACCCCATGACAGACAAAAAAAAAAAAAAAAATGTTCCTTTACTGATTATGAGCTACTGTCACTATATTTTGGGGCAAACAAAACAAGGCTCAAATCTCAATCCAGGTCCAATAGTTTTTTTTTTTTTTTTTGTTAGTCATGGGGCTTGAACTCTTCAGCTCTAGGTGACCGCTCTACCGCTTAAGCCACAGTGCCACTTCCGGGTTTCTGGTTTCTGAGTGGCTTACTGGAGATAAGAGTCTCATGGAATTTCCTGCCCAGGCTGGCTTTGAACTGTGATCCTCAGATCTCAGCCTCCTGAGTAGCTAGGTTTACAGGCATGAGCCACTGACTCCTGGCCAACCTAGCTTTCCTGTCTTAAAATCTAACTGGAAAAAAAATCTCAGTTTAGCCAAATCACTCTCTCTATATACATTATATAAAGTATACTAGTAATATGCACTATATATAGTGTATAGTGTATATATAGTGTACATTACTAGTATACTTGTCTCATATATATATATCTATAAATATATACACGCATATAGTGTATATTACCTGTATATTCCTGTGTAGCATCAAGTGGATCAATCCAGACAGTAACACTCTCAGCTGGTACCTCTTTTGGAGTAGTTATTTCCTTCAGGATATCCTCAGGAATCTTATGATCCCATAAGATAACCTCCTTATCAGTTGCATCCACATGTTCCTCAGTGTTTATCTGCACCAAAAATTGTGAACAGTTGAAAAATGAGAAAAATAGAAAATATGAAAGAAGAAATGTTAGCCAGAAATAACAGAAACAAATTCTTAATTTTATTTCAGGGCATTCACTGTAAAATAAAAATATATAAAAATAAAATTACAGTGGCATTTGTCTTTAAATATTTTCAGTCAATTTTTTGCTTAATAGAGAGAATTCAAATGCAGACAAAATGAAACTAAGCATCAAAGAAGGAAGGAATGGGGCTGGGAAGGTGGCTCAGTGGTAGAGCGCTTGCCTTGCATGCTCGAGGCCCTGGGTTCGATTCCTCAGCCCCACATAAGCAAAAAGAAAAAAGCTGGAAGTGGCACTGTGGCTCAAGTGGTAGAGTGATATAGCCTTGAGCTGAAGAACTGAGGGACAGCGCCCAGGCCCAGAGTTCAGGCCCCACGACCAGACCAAAAAAAAAAAAAAAAGAAGGAAGGAATTTAAAGCTTAGTGGTGGTTTATTGAGGAAAAAAAAAATACATATATAAAGGTTGGGCGTGGTAGCACCACCTCTAATCCTGGCACTTTAGAGGCGGAGGCAGGCAGAGCACAAGTACCAGGTCAGCAGGCTATATAGCAAGACCTTGTCTCCAAACAAATAAAAACAAAAAATTAAAAACAAGCAAAATAAAATATTTAATGTTCTAAAATATGAAAATAATTACTGTTTTGGAATACTGAATATAACTGTAGTTAAGAGATTCAAAGAAGACTTAAAAGGAGCAAAGTGACATGAACTTTACAAAAAGCAATGTAACTTAAAAATAGAAAATTGCAAATGGTAAAGGGAAAAAATGCTCTAGGAAAGTGATTATACCTTTAGCACATAAGGAAAAGCAAATCTAGAAAATTGAAGGTTATAATAAGCTATATTATAAAATATAAGGTTGAAATAAGCAATCAAATAGATATAAAAATGGTATCGTTTAACTATACAGCAAGGACATTTCACAGGATAATGAGGTAAAATCAAATTTTTTGTTTTATATAGCAGGAGACAAAATTAAGACAAAATAAATGGTTTACTTATGGATATGTAAAAGTGTAGAGTATATGAATATATATATATTCTATTAAGAATGCATACATTAGAGATTTCTTTAAACTGAGTTACGGGGCTGAGAAGGTGAGTGGTAAAGTGCTTGCCTTGCATGCATGAGGCCCTGAGTTCGATTTCTCAGCACCACATAAGCAGAAAAAGCCGGAAGTGGTGCTGTGGCTCAAGTGGTAGAGTGTCAGCCTTGATCTGAAGAGTTGAGGGACAGCGCACAGGCCCAGAGTTCAGGCCCCACAACCGACAAAAAACAGTAACAAAAACAAAAAACTGAGTTACTTCTCAACCTTGATATAATGGACAATTTCAACTGGGTAATTTATTGTAGAGGTATCTTGTGCACTGAAGAATGTTTAAAAGCATTCCTGGCTAAATAATAGAATCTAATAGATACTAACAGCACCATCCCTAATTTTTTTAAAGAACTTTGCGGGGTGCTGGAGTTTTGGACTGTACACCTTGTGTTTGCTAGGCAGATACTCTACCACTTGAGCCATCCCCCAATCCCTTTAATTTGTGGATAAGGTCTCATTATTTTTGCTCAGAGGCCATCTATGGACCTCAATCCTCCAATCTTTGTTTTTTTGTTTTTTGTTTTTTTCCACCTTGAGCCACAGCATCACTTCTGGCTTTTTCTCAATGGTTTATTGGAGATAATTGTCACTAAGAAGCTATTCTTGCCCAGGCTGGCTTTGAATCACGATCCTCAGATCTCAGCCTCCTGAATAACTAGGAATTTCTGTCTCTTAAGTAACTGGAATTATAAATGTGTCCTACTATGCCTTGCCCCATCCCTTAGTTTTGACAACCAAACATATCTTGACATTGTCAAGTATGTCCCTGCTCTGTCTTTTGTACAGAACACTGCTAAGTAGTAAGCTTATCGGTAGGTACATAGTCTCATTTGTAAGTTAATGAGTTTTCAAAGTGTTTAGAACTCAATTTACCTTTAGAAATTAGGATATACCCAGTGTAGCAAATCTAATAATTTATTACATTTTAATAGTTAATAAAAACCTGTCAAGACGGGCACCGGTGGCTCACACCTGTAATCCTAGCTACTCAGGAGGCTGAGATCTGAGGATCATGGTTCAAAACCAGCCCGGGCAGGAAAGTCTGTGAGATTCTATCTCCAATAAACCACTAGAAAACCGGAAGTGGCGCTGTGGCTCAAGCAGTACAGCGTTCACCTTGAGCTGAAGAGCGCAGGGACAGCGCCCAAGCCCAGAGTTCAAGCCCCATGACTGACAAAAAACCAAAACAAAAGAAAACAAAAACCTGTCAATCCTATTTCAAATACTGGCTCCATTAAAAGATTTTCTTTTTTCTTTAATTATAAGATACACACATAAGAAAAATGCTCCCCAAAAGATTTCAGTTAAAGGCTTAACATTTGAAGGAAGAAAGCTGTTGGGGTCTTTTACTTTCTGACAAGATCTTTTTCTAGGTTTTGCTTTTTTTATTTTTTCTTTTTGTTGGTCCTGGGTCTTGAATTCTGAGCCTGGGTGCTATCTCTCAGCTCTTCAGCTCAAGGTAAGCGCTCTACCACTTGAACCACAGTGCCACTTCTCGCTTTTTCTGTTTGTTTATGTGGTGCTGAGGAATTGAGCCCAGGGCCTCATGTATGCAAAGCAAGCACTGTACCACTGAGCCACCTTCCCAGCTTCTAGGTCTTTTTTAATACTGCACGATGCCATACTGTGCCAGAGTGATTACAGCACTAAGAGCACACTAGTAAAAAGGCACTAAGAGCATAAAACTCAGCAGCTACTAGCAATAACTGGAAGATTTCAACTGGTCACTGAACAGCTTAGAAATAGTAGTATTCCATAAATATTAAGTCACAAAATATTTCTTAATACTGAACCCAAGTATTTGTTAACTCAGTAACTATTTATTGACTGATAACTATATAAGTAAATATCCATTAACTGATAAATGGATAACTATATTATGATATACCCATTAACTGATAAATGGTAACTATATTATGATATATCCATTAGGTCATTCAGCCATAAATGAAGGACTGAAATGAGTGGAGATGAAGTACTGAGTCCTGAAGGAACACTGACGAACCTCTGCTTTCTAAAAGAAGTCAGGTACAAGATACTAAATACTTATATGGTCATATGTACAAAGCTTTTGACCTTTTCTGCTTGTCCTAGACATATACTAGTTATTGCAAATAAGGGAAACCATGGGACCTATGTTTTTTTGGGCCTGCCTTACTTCACTTAATATAAAATGATGTTAACTGAAATGAACTCCAAGACAGGGACATAAGTAATTTTTTTTCTTGCTATTGTTTTTAACATACTTATGAGGTACTATGTGATTTTTCTGTTTCCTTTGTATGTTCTTTCCCCATGGTATCAACCCTGTTTTCACTGTATTTGATTCTGGTGCCCTGCATCTTGTATACATATTTTTCTAATTTGGGGAGGAGAAGGGAAAAAACAAACTGCTTAAATAGGGATATGGGTTGACCCATTTTAACCATGAGATGTACAAGACACTATGTTGAAAATGAACTTTACAACTTGTGGGAGGGAGGGAAGGAGGCACTGGAGAAGTGGGGAGGTGGGGAGGGAAGGGATGGTAGGGGAAAAACAAAGGAGGTAACAATGCTTGATAGGAAATGTACTCTTACCTTACTCATGTAACTGTACCCCCTCTGTACATTATTTTTACAATAAAAAATATTAAAAAGATACTAAATACTTACTATATGATTCTACTAATGACAAAAGTAGGTACGGCTATAAAGGCAGATAGCAGATTAGTAGCTGTCTGGGGAAAGGATTAATAAGAATGATTAATAGTGAGTGGGTGGGCACAAGGATATCACTAAAGTGATGAAGTATTCTAAAACTTACCAATGATGACAGTTGTGTGATTTGTCAAATCTAGTTAAAAATTACTAAATTATAGACAGCAAATTATATGATATATTGACTTTCCTACAATAAAGAAGACAAGAAAGAGGAGGAACAAGAAGACAAAGAAGAAAGCAGCAGCCAGACAAGATGGTGTAATTCCATCACCTGTAATCCCATTATCCAGGAAGCTAAAGGTAGGATTATGAAGTAAGCCTGGGCTAAACAGAGACCCTCTGTCAAAACACCAATAATAAATAAAGAAAAAAAAGAGAGGGTATCTAAGGAAGCTCTTGTAGAAAAGGAGCCTGGCATGAATTCTGGCATTCTAGCTCACCGAGTAACAACTGTAGACCCTATGATAGGAGTATGCCTGGTATGTTCCCTAGACAGCAAAGAGGCAAGCAGCAGAGAGGCAGTTAATGAGAAAGACACAGGACAGAGGTCAGAGGAGTAATGGAATCCAGATGGTAAAGGACCTTGTAGGCCACAATACAGAGCCATCTGCTTCCTATCATAGCATCTATTATAAATATGCAGAGGGTCCTAATGATTGTAGCAAGCTGGAAGGAGGTAGAAGGATGTGGGGAGGTACAAAAAAGATAAATAAAATGAAATAAAACCATAAATAAAATCAAATAGATGGAATAAAACCATAATGTCCAGCTGATTACCTGGGCAATGAGAAAATACAAAGAACCTGAATAAAAATTTAAACAATTTATAATTATATAATAAAATTTCTAGTTAAGATATTAATTGCATTTGTACATATCAGTAGCAAATTTTTAATTTTCAAAACAGAAAATCATGTGCTGGGTGCCAGTGGCTCATGCTTGTAATCCCAGATATTCATGAGGCTAAAAGGATCTATGGATCATAGTTGGAAGCTAGCCTGGGCAGGAAAGCCTGTGAGACTTCTATCTCCAATTAAGTACTAAAAAGGTCAAAAGTAAAGCTGTGGCTCAAGTGGTAGTATACTAGTCTTAAGCAAAAATTAAAAATAAAAACAAACAAATCCCCACAAAACCCCCACA